AATGCTGGCCAATTTTTGGTGACACTTTAGCAAGATACATCAGACACCGAGTACAAACAAAAATCAGCAGCAAAATGCTGTTAGCCCTGTTGAACTCATGCAACATGTCAGAAACATGCGATTAAATGCATTATAGTTATTAAAAATTAATTTCATATTTATGAAGATTCCCACATGATATAGTCATTCTGAAACTATATCTGTGTTCAGTTTGAAGGGGTCTTCATAATCATCAAACATCTTTCAAGAAGCAAAACTTGGAAAAAAAATTGTTGTCCACTGATATTGACATTTCTACCAAAAAAAGCCAACAATGCAGTTTCCCATAATTTTGAAATAACAAATAACATATTTAAACTCTCATAATTTGTTTGATGACCGCCATATATTTGGCAATATGCAAGTATTTAAAAACGTAACCCCAGACAATTCTATCATGCTATACTGTAGCACTGGTGTGCCCATACATTTTTTGCCATCAAAAGCCTGTCTGCATCTGTAGCAAAATATTCAGTAAATATGTTTACTAAAGGTATGTAGTAACAAGATACCAAAAACATTTTAGAGAATGGTATCTCGTAATATAAACTTCAAATGGCGCGTTTACATCATGCTTACCTTGTTGGACTCTCCCTGTCATTTGAACTCAGTAGTCTGGACATTTCCAGGTTTAAAAATGGAAACGTGTATCCAAGGTTTTATCCATGTGTATCCAAGGTTAGTTACTAGTACTTTTACAAAGAGAACATTATTTATCCCTCTGTGTTTCCAAACCGAGAGAAAATAATTAGAATATCCATCATACAACATAGGCTTCTCCTATTATGTGATCTCCTTTCTTCTCTCCTTCAAGTAGTTATGAGGAACTGGAACTGTGACAGAAGCTGAGTAGAATAAGCCTTTGCCAATCATCTCTCTGGTGGCTCCTATCTGATCAATCTCTGTGAATTTTACATTTTAAATTATACCGAAGAAAGTTATAGTGAACAATCTACTATATGTGGTTTCCGACGTCCCGATATAGTCAGTTGGTGCCATCACTGACTATTGGGGACGAGTCATTGCCCCCCACGGAGAGGGTACGCAACTTAGGCGTCCTCTTGGACTCATGGCTGTCTTTAGAAGAGCACTTGACGGCTGTGGCCGGCAGGTCTTTTTATCAGGTTCGCCTGATTCGCCAGTTGCGTCCCTTTCTGGATCGGGACTCGTTAAATACGGTCACTCATGCCCTCGTCACTTCACGCCTGGACTACTGTAATGCTCTCTACATGGGGCTCCCCTTGAGGAGCACCCGGAGGCTCCAGCTGGTCCAGAATGCGGCCGCACGGGTAGTTATGGGAGCAGCATGGCGCTCCCATGTGGCTCCCCTCCTGCGCGAGCTGCACTGGCTCCCGGTGGTCTTCTGGGTGCGCTTCAAGGTCTTGGTTACCACCTTTAGAGCGCTCCATGGCTTAGGACCGGGGTACTTACGAGACCGCCTTCTGCCACCAATAGCCTCTCACCGCCCAGTACGCTCCCATAGAGAGGGGCTTCTCAGGGTGCCATCAGCCAAACAGTGTCGACTGGCGGCCCCCAGGGGGAGAGCCTTTTCTGTGAGGGCACCCACCATCTGGAACGAGCTCCCCCCAGAGATACAGAAGATCCCGGATCTGCGCACTTTCCGCCGTGCCCTCAAAACATTCCTGTTTCAACAGGCCGGTCTGGCCTAACTTTCCCTTTATATTGCTTCTGATTTTGTTTTAAACTGGGATGTCTTGAATTATCTAGGACCAGAGTGTTTAGTATATTTTAATTGGTTTTTTAACGTTTGTATTACATGTATTTTTATCTTTCGCTGTTCACCGCCCTGAGTCCCTCGGGAATAGGGCGGTATATAAATTTAATTAATAAATAAATAAATAAATAAATATAGGTAGCTGGAAGACTATCCAAAATGGCTCCTCCATAGCAAACTGAGATTGTCATCTGTTTCTTGGTATGCGTCACTAAGTATAGGTGACTTACTCATTGTTCATATCCGATTCAGTTGAGCATTTTCAAACTGAATTGATATGAAGTGCAAACCAAAATATCCATGATATATGACTGAATATTTGTGACATATTGTTATGTCGTATTTGTTAACATTTGTATTAGTGTTACACATAGTATAAAGCTGCCAAATTAATTTATAGAACACCAAACTGATTTGAAGATGAATACTGGCAGATTGCCTTACACAATTCAGTATTATAAAAACTCATTTTTAATTATTAACATTTTCTGACAACACTTATCAGAATAAACTTAGGCAACTTTTGGGTGGCATAAACTATACTTAATTGCTTTGAAAATAGCACAGCCACATTTTAGGTTTCCAAAAGTTTTTTTTTAATTTTCCAACTTAAACTGCACTGCTGAAATTCAATAACTTAGCTGCTAAGATTAATAGAGGTTGCATAAAGTTGCATTTTATAAATCCCTATATTGTATATTAGCCCAAAAAATGTATGATGAAAAACACCAACATACAACTTTTTATTTTAAAATATCCAGATATCAAAAAGAAAATAGTACATATTTAAAATAGATACAGAATCACAGGTAAGAGTTATATACTTCCATTCAAATATTTTTAAAACACACCCTTTGTTTTAAAAATTAGTTGTCTTAAGCATAAAGAACTATTACCTACAGATCATGCCAACTGCACTGATACCTTGACAATGCTGCATCTACAGAGGAATTTCTCTTTATCAATTACTTATTACCAGGAATTATATAGATTTCTTTCATGCAGCATCCACTGATCATTCATGAATTATGTTGATTATGTGTGCATATATAATTCACAAACATAATAATTAGCATGGCACAGTTATTAAATATGACCTGGATGGCATGAAAATTACATGGATATAGAGCAGGTATCAAAATCATACTGAATGTGTGTTTATCAACAGACATTCACTATACTGGAATGAAGTATCAGCTGAAATACCATAGAATATATCCGTCCTCACATTTTAAAATATTTTTATTTCAGGCTTAATTCAGAAGATAGAGAATACTGATTGTAAGTCCAGTTGACCTAAATGATGGAACAACTGATATTCTAGAAGACAGCAACAATTAAAAATGCTTTTGGTTTATTAGATAAGTAGGCTGAAAATATTTTTTTTTATATAGAGAGCAGAAACCAAATGTAAAGATATGAACTTAGCAATATCTGATCTTGCAATAGTGCATGGGTGTCAAACCTGCAGCGTCACGTTGCCCTCACATGACGTTTCACAACGTTTTCCCCCTTTGTGGAGCTAGGGTGGGCATGACCTGTGCGTGACGTATCCGGTCCACGGGCCACCAGTTTCACACCCCTATAATAGTGATTTAAGTGAATGAGTCGATGTGGCTGCAAAAAAGCCAAATGCAATTTTTGAATATATCAACAAAAGTATGGCTTCCAAGCCGTAAATAATTCTACTTTAGTCCTACTTATTAGTTCTCACCAGAACTCTGTCATCTCCAAGCATCATACTTTACAGAATTAGCCAAACTGGATCAAGTTCAAAAAATAGCAATGAAAATTATCATGAGGTTAGAAACTAAGTTCTATGAAGATAGACAACAGGAATTAGATATGCTTTGCCATAAGACAACTGAGAGAGGATATGAGAAAACTTTTCTAAGCCCCAGAAAGGGTACAAACACAGAACTTCAAGATCTGCTCTCCATCAACCCAAAAAGATACAGAACGATGAAATTAGGTTACAAGACAGCAAATGTCAGCTGAACGTTAAGAAGAAAATCCTAACAGAAAGAGCAGTTTAACAGTACAACTTATTCAAAGAAGCACTTTTGATTCCCCCAAAAGTGGATGACTTCAGCAGATGTATACAACCAATTTATCACTGTTTCATATGAATTCTTCCTTTGAACAGAGAATTGACCTTCATGGTTTAAAGGGTCTCTTTCAATTCTATTATTATGAGTATCTTTTCCTGTAACTATCCAAGTTATCATTTTAGATATCAACACTATTTGGATGAATATGGCAATAAAACAATAAAATGAAGTAGTAAAGGGTAACATTCACAGAAACATTTCCACAAACTATTTGTGATGGTCATTATAAAAAAATAGTATTAATTTCAGCATTCACTATGGCTGATTTCATGCCCGAGTCTCTCATATTTTAACTATGATTTATTGAACAAACCTGATTAAATTCACACAGCTCATACACTATAGTTGACAAATCACTACAGCTGACTTTGCACAACTGATAGGCTACAAATGCAAACAAACCGCCTTTTGGTTTAGTGTGCTGAATATATTCAAGCTCTCTAAGTTTCCAATCCACAAATTTCAATGCAACCCAATTAACAGCATCTAGGATAGCATGCAGATTCAATATAACCTGCTTTTCCACAAAAAACAAAGCTTTTTTTTGTAAACTACTTGCAAATGAATCTGAATTCTATACAGCTTTTTTTTCCTATTCAAAATCAACTTGCCTTTTTAAAAGTATCAAATAAAACCATGTTTAGGAATATCTCTGAGGCAAGAGTGGACTAAATGAGCTTCAGAACTCATTTATATATAGTTTAATATATATCTTCTGTGGACCATCACTTTGGTACTGGGTTCTTTAGCTGCCATGTATACTTTACATTACTTTAAGCAATGTACAACAATTTGGACAAATAGACAACTTAATTTGTAATACTCTAACCATTTTTTTGTATCTGTGCAAGAACACATGTAAATATTTTAAGAATATACTAATATATCTAAATGTAGTTGTTTGTACAATATCCTTAACTGAACTATGGTTTAATCAATTAACCAGAATGTATGGTTTGCACAGCAAACTGTGCCATAAATTAACAGCATAGGTAGAGTTCATATATTATGTTAGTCTAAATGTGGTTGAGTGCATGCATCATGTAATTACTGCCAGTGATTTATTCTAAATAAACATTATATATAAATGTTTCATATCAAGAAAATTTTCTTACCTGTATATCCTGCCCACCAGCCCCAGGATGCCACCATGGCTAAAAGCCATTTAAATAATACTCCTTCGATATACCAAAACCGTTTATTATCCAATAATCGAAGAGGTTGCAGTACTATCATGTACATAATATAGGACGGAATAGCAACAAGGTTATTAGCAACCATGAAGCTAAATCTTAACAGTGCTTTCAGAAATATATAGCTCGCCCTTTGGGCCTTCTCCAAAGTTATAGCCATTCTTTTCACACAGAGGTTTGTAGTCTTTTCCTACAGGATAAGAAAGAGAAAAATTATTCAGCATAATGTACACAATTTCATGTTTTTTTAAAAAAAATCCTTCTTTTAGATGAAAAATATTTTCATCTAAAAATGTTAATAGATTTTGCAAGTATTTTCATGTTTTTTTTTAATTTTCTAGATGACTACATAAATATTGTTCTCAAATCTTTTTTTAAAAAAACATAATAAAATTCACTGCAGGCTAATAATGAAAATTTCTTATCTTTATTGTTGTTATATTCACAACTGCTAGAAGAATTTTACAAAGCTGTTCCTCATAACACTACGGTTTGTATTTTTACAAGAATATACATTTGACAAGATTATACATTTACAAGGACATACATTTTATCTCTCAATAAGATAATTGCATATGAAATAAATCTTCATTTTCAATGTCTTAAGTATGCCACAGCAAGCATACTATGTGCGTTCTATTTGGTAACACAGAAAACCTAATTATGATATACAAAGGGCAGATCTTTTGAGACAAAGAATTCCCTTTGCTCTTCCTCCATAAAAATTGTAATGATGGGTTACACATTAACATCAAGAATACTTATCTGCCCTTTATTTTGCAAGAGGAAATGTAGGTAAAGAGAAAAAAAATGAAAACATGCAGACTATTATGCTTTTAAGTGTATGCCTTGAGATTTTAGTGTGAAGCACTATAGATATGCTTTCTCTAAATGCTTTTAAAAATGACAAACCTATTAATTAGCAACATGATTAGCAACATGATCAACTCCTAAATTACAAGAAAGAAACAGTGAAATAAAAATACAAAAGCACCAGTTTAAATAACGAATAGGTAGCAAAGAGGAACAAAGACTAGAGACTCCATCCCAAAGGACTTATCTAGGAGTAAGATTTACTAAATTCAATGCTTGTATCTGGAGCATGTAAAATACTAAAGGGTTGGGGAAGGAGAATAGAAGAAAGAAAGGCTCAGCCCACACTATTCACCGGATCACTCACCTTCTGCTGCGCAGAGGAAAGGGAACAGGAGGGCCCAGAGAAGTGGGCCTGATGGCCTTAGCAATAGAGGGGGGTGCCTTGATCGGTGGCTGCCGGTGAAGGAGAAGGAAGTGGAGGCAGTGGCTGCAACTCTGGCGGGATAACGGCGGTCTCATGGACATGGAGGTTGCTGGCCTGGACCCAACGGAATGGGCTGGGAACACTCCCTATTTCCTTTGCACTTCTCTGAGGGGGGGAAAAAAGAAGCGGAGATAGACCACTGGAAGAGTCTGAAACAGCACAAATGCCGGGGACGGCTACGTTACAAGGGAAGGCGCCGTCCAGAAGACTTATCACACCCTAACCAGGTTTGCACAATATTCGGGGCCTACGGCGATTCGCGCGCCTTTCTCAAGGGGAGGCTGAATTCCGCCGCCAATCACTCCGGCTGGTGTATCCGCTTCTCCCCCCGGGAGGAAGAGGGCAGCAAGCGCAACTCCCGCACCTGTTGGGGTATCGGAGCGCCGTGCGCCGTAAGGCAGGGGAAAAGACGCGGAGGATGTCTTAAATCTCAGCCGCCGCTGTCGAATATTTCGGATCACGGGAGGCAGGCTCGAGCTCTCTGGACATGCACAAGTTTGCAAGGGCTCCAAAGAAAAGAGAAGCTCTACTCTTGCCCCGGCCAAATAGAGAACTAAGCTTAGTACTCCGCTCAGAAGCCTTTACGCTGTTTCAGTAGAGGAAGGATAGTGAGAAAATTCTCCCTCCAAACCATGAGTTTCACCATATCGTATTAACATTCACTTCCTCCCTGTAGGAGAGGTTGAAAGGGTAGATTTTCACAAGCGCCCCAGCAAGGGATGCACAGACACGGGAGGGAAGCATGGTCATTCAAGGTCTTTTCGAAAGCATCGGGGGCGACCCATTCACCTATATGAAGTGCCTCGAAATACACTATTATCTTACATTCACGAGGGGGGGGATGGAATTCCCCCTCGCGTCCTCTAATGGCGCGGGGAGTTGGAATCCTGAACCTTTGTTCCAATTCGGGGGAAACAGAAAGGATCCTAGCGGGAACAGAGCACATTCCGGGTCAAACCCGGCCACAAACTTTATAAAGGTTGGGAATGGGTCTCTCCCAGGAACTTCAATTGGCTCCTTCCTCCCGGCTGAGAACTTCTTTCAAGGGCACTAACGGTGTGCCTCCTCAGCCTCAAGTAGGGGACCTTTCGCAAACAGCACCGTTGCCTACCTAGGACACTCGTGGGTCGCTCTCCTCCTCCTCCTCCGACCGACCGCCTTCGTCTTCCCCACCACCACCCCGGAATGAAAGCCCTGAAAAGGGTCATGTTCCCGAAGAAGGCATCTCCCCGCTTTGGCCAAAATGAGCCCAGAAAGGCAGCCGTGGACATGACGATCCTTGTCTCTTTTCAAGTTCAACCTCGGGTTCCAGGGCAGCCTCAAGGGCGACAGCCGCCCTCCTTCTCCTCCATCACCGCCGCCACGCCGTGCTGCTCACCCAGAGCAAGGGGAGGATCTGAAGAGAGCGCCAATGGGAAGGAAGCGCCCCGACCTGGCCTCGGGCGGCGGCGGCGGCGGGCACGGGGGGGGGGGTCCTTTCAAGGGCGCCAAGAGCCTGTCCCCAGCTTCTCCCCCAGGAGGGGCTGTTTCCCCGAAAAGCCCGGGAAAGCGAGGGCGGCAGCGGCTTCGAGGCTCCCTCGCTTATCTCGCGCATCCCCCCCCCCCCGCGGTCCCTTCTCTTCCCCTCTCGAGAGGCGCCGCTCGCGGGCAAAGGATGGGTGGGGACTTTCCTACCTCCGACCAGGCGGCTTTCCTTCCAGGGCCGTTTCTGAGGAGCCCGTCGGATTCATAACGGTGGCCGCCAGGGCCCTCGCCCACCTCGACTGCCGCGAAGAGGCTGCGCCGTGACCCCTCGACGCCGCCTCTTTCTCCTGCGGCTAACTCGGCTCGCCGGCAAGTTTCGCTGGCTCTCGAGGAGGTGGAAGCGAAGGCAGGAGCAGGTCGCTCCCTGCAACAAGCCCCGCTGTCTCCGGCCGATAGCTCCCTCTAACGAGCCGAAGCTTAGCAGTCTGGCTTCGTCTGTCCCTCCGCCCGCCAGTCAGCCAAACTCCCGGCGGGCTGGGCCTCAGCAGGCCGCCTCCCTCGCAGCTCCCCTCCCCGGTCCCGGAAGAGGCAGCGAAAGCGCGTCCTTTTTCCCGCTAAAAGGAACGCGAAAGTGAGAATATCGGAGAAACGGCGACCAGAACCGCAGCCAGTAAAAATGCAAAGAGATTTAGCAGCCTTTCCCGTTGTCCTCAGGCTTGAACGGCTCTACCGGCAGCAAGAAGAGGATGTGACCGAATGACTGCCTGGGCGACCTGAAAGCGCCACGGCCTTTGCACAGTTCGCGACTAGCGAGTCTTGAACTTAAAAAATCGCGTTAGGAGATTAAGACGGATGGTGCAAAAAAAAACAAACAAAAAAACAGCCCCACCGCCCCACGTCTCACGTGTTCTCTGAAAGCCCGGACAGCCTACGAGAAAAAACTTGAGCCAGGGCCTATTGAAATTAAAACTTACTATTATATGCAGAAATAGGTAGAGGACTGGAAAAAGGATAACAACGTATGGGGTCTGAGAGGAGGCCTTCAAAGGAAATATTTTTTAAAAATATGATGAAGTTGAGTTGAGTGATAAGGAATAAAACCTCTCACTTAGTTTAAGGACAGAAGCTGAATGAGAATTCAGCCTGGTAATCCAGCAAATGAAATGGGACTAAAAAGTGTACAGTACAATTTTGGACATACCTGTAACACCATTCTACTCTAATTTTCACTGTTGTTGAAGAGTGTTGGGTGCATGCATGTCTGTGGTGACCTGCATTTTTAGCTAAAAATAGGAGTGGTTGTTGCACTACTTTTATTTCTGTTTATTACTTATTGTACTCTTCTAAGCATTTGCCTATATATGAGTAAACTGGCTTGTCTACAAAGAAGAGGTAACTCCAAGGAAGTGTTGCAAAGTCTGCAAAACTTTAAACTTTATAAAAACACTAAAATAGGCTATTCTGCAACAACTCAGAGAAGAATTAGCATGTGCCAACAGTTGTTTAGGGACAAAACGTAAAGACATTCTGATAGGAACAACTAGCTGGAACCCTGAGTGTATTCTGTATTATAATTTTAAATTGTTTTCTCTATGAATCTATATGTAACCAAAACCACACAACACAAAACAACATAATTGCATGATATATCTTGGAACCATGATAAACTGAACTAAAAGCATCTTATACAACATGCCATTGTTTTACATCTATATTTTCTTATGAAACACTGGGAGAAGAAAAATAAATTGGCTGGATTAATTAAGGTGAATTCATTTTCCCTCTGACTATCAGATTTGAATTGAAATTTGCAGCAACTTTTAGAGGGACTCTGGTTTCAACTAAGACTTGCAGGAGCAGATGTGACCCTGGAGTCTCTCTGTCTATATATATATCATTGATTAGAATATATCTTCTAGAACAAGGGTGTCAAACCCGCATAGTCATGGCAGCGTCACGTGATCTTTCGGGACTTTTTTCCCCATGGCTAAACCGGGCATGGGCGTGACCAGCATGTGACGCATATGGGCCACGGGCTACGAGTTTGAACAGCCCTGTTCTACAATATATTCTTCGTTCGGTTATTTAGGCAGATAATATAGTACTAATTTGGCCAGATGTATTTTGTAAAAATATTTAAGTCAAAATTTATACTGTTTGGCATTTCAGCAAAGCTAAATATTTAATACTTCAGGCTTTAATAATCATTTGGTCTGGATCCGTTACATCACTGAAATCTCAAATTATGATTAAGATCAACTCCACCCACTGTTAAGTGAGGCAACCCTGAAGTCAAGCTTTATCTTGAATTGCAAAATCTGAAAATGAATTAAGATGGGACATTAAATTTTATATAAATTATAAAATATATAAATGTATAAAATATAATTTATATTCATATTTGATAGTTTGGACAAACAAACTTTGTAATCAAATCTTTATTCTTAAAGTCACAAATATGTGACTGATGTTCATCCATAATTTCTAACTATGTAAAAGTTATTAATCTGATTTTGATAGGGTTCATGGTGTTAAATCACTGTTATACTATTGCAGGCCTGTCGAATTGGCGGCCCATGGCCCAGATGCATCACACACAGGCCACACCCACCCCAGCTCTTCAAAGGCAAAAACTCGCGATACATCACGATACATCACATGACGCAATCAAGTTTGACACCCATGTACTATTGTGTACACTTCCACAGAGGCTGTGTTCTCATAATGCCATTAGTTCATTTATTGAATGCATCTCAGTTGACGGGGATTGAGCAATTTTCTGTGCAATAAACAGTTATTTACAGTCACAGGATCTGAGTCTACACAGCATCCCAGCAAAATAAGGTAACCAAATTTTGGTTTAGAATTACATGTGAACCATTACACATAAACCCAAATTATTCAGTAAACTCCATCTAAAATAAAGCATATCTTAGAACTTTATGCAAGTTCAACTATTTTTATGATTCCTATAGTTAGTCATTAACAATCTTTATTCAGCAAATCTAAATACCATAGAACATAATTGTTTTAGTAGGCATACATAGGAATACTGTCAGTCCTGGAAGCTACAGTATAAACAGTACTGTGCTAGGTCAATTGATTATCTGAATTTGTATAAGATATGGTAGATTTCTAATAGAAATACTACTGTGTGAGTAACAGTTTGCTCCACCTCTGGGAACTGCCAGCACTAAGACATCAGTGAAACTTTCTGCTTCCCCTATGACTATTTGGCACACATTAAATGACAGTTTTCAGTTACAGCTAAGAGTATCAACTTTATATTCCACAACACTGATCTTAATAGACCTTGTATACTTAATACTTCAGCCAATTATTTTTAAATTAAAAGTAAGATTATCACTATTACATAGAGTAAAATCTTCAAATTGTATCATATATGATAATGTGTTAATCCCTTCTACATTTCAGCTTTCAGTAAATGAGGGTATTTACTTTTGAAGAAGATGGCTATCATGGGGCATGAACATTGCTTATCTGTGGCCTGTCAGTTAATAGGTTTCAAATTATTTAGTACTTGACAATTAATGTTTAACTTATTTTTTCTAGTATTTTGAGTCAAATCACATGTTATTCAAAAGATTTCAAATTATGGTACAATATGCTACAGTTAACATTTTGATACTTTTTTATTCCTGTCTTTCTTGTCAAAACTTCCTCTTGATGACAAGATGATTATCTTTTCCACTAACTCAGTTGTTCCATTATGCCATTGAAAAAAGGTGATTTATTTTGCTACAAATAACCAAACACCAACTTGAGCCAGTGAGTCAAAATCTGAAAGTCCATACCCTTTGTCTACCTGTATATGCAAGGTTGTAGATAGGTTTTCATTCAGTTGCTCTCAGTCCAGCTCCCAGTGCATAAAATAAGAATTAAATATCCAATTACTCTCATGAAATTTGCCCTTTGTGTTGTTCACTTTCCTACTCAAATTCTATAACATTAGCAGTAGGAGGGTTGGTAGAGGAAAAAAACCTTGATGTCAACCAAGTCTTTCATTTCTGCACATTGCATGAGAAAAGAGGGAAGTAAAATACAAAACAGCTAACAGTCCTAAATTGTCAGCAAAATTTAACTTTGAGTTTTCCAACTTGTTGAACTCCAGATGTGCTTAACTTTAATTCCCCAAAATTCCAGCCAGTATCACAGGACATTATCTTTATTAATCTGGAAGGACACAAATTGGGAAAGGCTGATCTATCTTAATTTATAGTTTTAAAAATCTGACGTATCACACATAAGAAGGAAAATACACTTTCCATAATTAAACAATCATTAATGAAACATCAAATAGGTATTGAAATTTACTGATAATAATACAGAAGACCAGTTGGTATTGGTCAAAGACTTAATTCAGGAAGTAATTTTATTCAGTGAGCAAGACACCAGCATGAAACAATTATCAGATTTGTTTACTGCAAGTTAATTATACAGTTGCTGAAGTACAAGTTCCAGCTTGTTAATCTTTTTAAAAGAGGGTGTGAGAGAGTGCATAATGCAAAAGTACTCAAGTAGTCATTTGTATGTAGATTAAATCTAAATCTCACTCAAACTTTGTGGAAATCCTATAGTCAGAGAGGCTGGTTTATGACTTTCTAAGTTTTAGCGCTTGAATGGCAGGGGCCTATTTTTATATGAAAAGAAAGAATCAGCCCTTACCACATGCCTGTTAATTATTCACCATGGTTATTTTGAGTTAATACATATTAACCAGGGAGACAATTTTTATTTATATAATGCTATTTTCAAAGAGTTTATCCTCTTCTATTGGTATAAGTCAGACAGTTAAGTCAAATGGAATGATAAATGATAATAATGACACTAAAGACAGTGTCTACCAGTAAAATAGATTTATGACAGAAAAATGTGAAGTATCTGAAAGAAGTTAACTCCTTCAACAAGGAAATGCTTTTTTGATCTATTGGTCTTCCACAAACTGAAGCAGGGTCTTTTATGGGAGACTGGTGAAAAAAGATAAGTTGGCAGCCATAACTGAAAAATTGAAGTTCCATCCGAATAGAATAGAATAGAATAGAATTGAATTGAATTGAATTGAATTCTTTATTGGCCAAGTGTGATTGGACATGTAAGGAATTTGTCTTGGTGCATACACTCGGAGTACATAAAAGAAAAGTTACATTGGTCAAGAATCATAAGGTACAACACTTAATGATAGTCATAGGGAAACAGTCAATATAAATTGTAAGGATACCAGCAACAAGGTTACAGTCATACAGTCATAAGTGGGAGGAGATGGGTGGTAGGAACGATGAGAAGATTAATAGTAATGCAGACTTAGTAACTAGTTTGACAGTGTTGAGGGAATTATTTGTTTAGCAGAGTGATGGCATTCAAGAAAAAACTGTTCTTGTGTCTAGTTGTTCTGGTGTGCAGTGCTCTATAGCATCGTTTTGAGGGTAGGAGTTGAAACAGTTTATGTTCAGGATACGAGGGGTCTGTAAATATTTTCACAGCCCTCTTTTTGACTCGTGCAGTATACAGGTCCTTATTTGTGTGACTCAACATAGATATTACCGGTACTTATTATGATACTGCATAGGGAAGAAAGAATGGCCTTGAGGAATAGGAGAAAGAGCTGTATCAACAATCAGATAAAAGGTGCAGAGGAGAAATTAGGAATGTAAATGTTTCAGATACAACCCTCCCTCATTCTCACAAAGATAAAAGGATGGAAGCACATTTACACTTGAATGATTCTATTATTGGAACATTGCAATAAAAAGTAGTACAGTATTGACCTATATGGCACTGGATTCTTAGTCTGAAG